TCTTTCCTTTCAGCCAGTTTCCAATAATATACAGTAAATTGGACATTTACTTTCTATATGTTTTATGTATGTTATCACTAATTCAGTACATAAAAATGGTGGGTTTAGTAAATATTTATTGCATATACAGTATGCGTTCTATTGCAGTGTTTATAAAGCGGTTTTGTGGTCATAGTGTCTTGTAATTTTACACAATTAGAAATTTTTTCTTACTGTTCAAATTGGTTTTTTTTTCCATGTATCATTTGTGTTACCATTTTTTTAAACTTGATACATGTTTAGTGCTATTGTGGACTATTCCTCCATCTAGTGGCCAAAATATATTTACCTGTAATGACAGAGCTATTTAGTGCTTAGGTTCTTATAGTAATTATATACATATTTATAAGGATTTCGGCAATATTTATGCTGAAATGTTATTTTAATTGCTAAAGGTAATAAAGCTATTTATAGTCATCATTTGGATAGGGTTAAGAAAGGGGGTGTACCCCTGAAACATGTTAACAGTGACAGAACCCATAATGCACACCTCTCCAATAAAGGTGCTTCCAAGCAACAAAAGATGTGGGTGCTTCTATTAAATCTGTGGTCTTGTTAAAGTATTCTTTTTAGTTTTGGATAGAATGGAGATGGATTGTAACAATGGTCTCCAAACTGCAGCCCACAGGCCAAATGTGGTTCTTTGCATGCCTGTTCTTTCCACCGTCACCATTGATGGGACACTATCCCTCCTACTGACACCAACAACGGGGCACTATCTTCCACTGACACCAAAGTTGTGCAACTTTTGTTTTTGTTTTTTTTTAACTTGCCTGAGACATTTTTTACTCCAACGGACCATAGTCTAGCCCACCTAAAGTCTGAAAGACAGTCTAAAGGCCCTTTGTTTAGAAAGTTTGGAGATCCCTGGATTATAACACCTGTTAGGTATTTATTGCTACCTCTGCCCTCGTTAGGGAAATTCATCCCATTTTTCTTGTGTTGTCAAAAGTGAATGAAAATCTAAAATTTTGGGTTGTCCCCAAAACAGTAACAGAGGGGAACCTTCAAATGAGGACACTAGTTCTGGTGACCTGGGAATCCCCATTGGATTCCCTTAAATTTGCAGGGATTTCCTCTCAATTCCTGTTTTAGCTATGGGACAGGAAGTGAGGGTAAATCTCCCCATTAGGACACAGATGGCCCCAAAAAAACCTGACAGTTCTGTTCTACTTTAAGCAGAGTAAATATCTGAGCCAAAGTCATGATTTTAAAGCACTATTACACTCGTATTAATATTGAGTGCAAGACTGACTTTATTCTAAAAAATGCCTTTGTTAATATATAATACTCATGAAGTGAGTCTTTAGAGACAGGCCATGCACAGAGGCAGTGCCAAAGGCACTGGGCCTGGACAGCGTCCCATGGTTATCCTGTTTCCAGAACAACGTCTGGAAAAGGCCTTTTGCAAATCCCAGGGCCAAAAGGTCTCGCAGGCTAGCCCTGCAACGTCCAATTACACTGTTCAACAGGTAAAAAGTTTTGGGCATAAAATTAGCTAATCTTACATAATTTTGGGGTGCTGAAAACGAAAATGACCCTAAAAAATGTTGATTGGCTCTAGTTTCCATGATATATTCACCCATCTAATGACGTAAGCCATTCAAAATTATGATGCAACTTCAGCTGCATATTGCGCAATTGATACTGGTGACCAATAGAAAATTGCATGTATACTGAGATGATGCAATATTAGCCTTTAATTGCATCACTTCACTGCATAAAAGCTGCATTATCTGTAGCTGATTGTAGTTCGACAGCGTCTTTACATTTCGTTTTATGCTTATATAGGCTACTCAGTAATGCCTCGAACTTGTGTGAATAAAGCAGATAATTTCTGCTATATCTGCGGTGAAATAACTTTTATCTCACAAAAAAGGAGGATAACGGGAATGATTAAGAAACCTACAACTTGTATTTTGGCTGCAAGATAGGAGACCAGGACAAGAGCTGGGCACCACATATATGCTGCAATTCTTGTGGGACGGCACTGGAGCAATGGTTGAATGGAAAAAAAGGCATCTATGCCTTTCGCTGTGCCAATGATTTGGAGAGAGCCAACAGATCATGTTAGTAATTGTTACTTTTGTATGGTGCCTCCAATTGTAAAAGGGCTAAATAAGAGAAAAAGTTATCTGTGCACTATCCAAATATTCCATCGGCAATACGTCCAGTTCCTCATGGAGAGGGGCTACCAATTCCTAAAGCACCAGAATCCTTCGTGGTTGAGTCAAGTGAGGAAGAACCTGAAGCGTGTAGTCACGTGCAGTTGTAAGAGATAGCCCTTTCCTCGAATACAGGAGAAAAGCCAAGAGAAGCAAAAAACCGACACAAACTGAAGACAAAACTAGTGAGAATCCTAAGTCCTATGCAAAAATGATTCAAACTTAGCTTATGGCTATAATTTTTCATTTGGTAATCCTATGCAATATATTATGCTATTTAGGCTTTGTTATGAAAATGATTAAAAAAATTTACCTCTGTGCCTATATTGGACTATATATAAAGTAATTCTCTTGAATAAGAAATTATTTTTATAGTAAGAAAGTATTTTATAATTGGACCCGGGGGCCGGACCAAGAAGTAATGAATGAATATCACTTGCTTTATATTTGTGGAAAGACATCTATCTAATCATTATCATAATTATTGTGCCAATTGACAAAATTTTATGTTATAGTCATTATGTGAAATTCATAGAAATGGATCCTTTTGTTTCCAAAACTGGCAAAAAATAAAAATTTGTTGAACAGTGTTATGCAGGGTCCAGATTACAGAAAAAGCCAGTTAGTGGATAGAGCTGCACTGATAGCTGCAATCACAGAATCAGCTCTAGCAGTGATATAGAGCAGTGTTTTTCAACCTTTTTTTGCAAAGGCACACAGAATTCATGAAAAAAATCACGAGGCACAACCATTAGAAAATGTTAAAAAAATTTACCTCTGTGCCTATATTGACCAAAGTAATTCTCTTGAATAGGAATCAAACACAAAAAATTATTTTATAATTACTTTTATTATGAAATAATACAGTATTTTGTTAATTGGACAGGGGCCGGATCCCCCCCCCAGATAAATGATGTGTATGTGTCATCCAAAAGTAATATTCCCCCAGTTAGTAGGATCCCCCATATAGTAATGCATCCCCCATGATAATTAATCCCCATATAGTAATTCATCCCCCATAGTAATTCATCCTCCATATAGTAATTCATCCCCCATAGTAATTCATCCCCCATAGTAATCTATCCCCCATATAGTAATTCATCCCCCATAGTAATTCATCCCCCATAGTAATTAATCCCCCATATAGTAATTCATCCCCCAAATTTCATCCCCCATATAGTAATTCATCCCCCATATAGTAATTCATCCCCCATAGTAATTCATCCCCCATATAGTAATTCATCCCCCATAGTAATTCATCCCCCAAGTGACGTAATTCATCCCCCCATATAGTATTTCATAGTATTCATCCCTCCATATAGTAATTCATCCCCATGGTAATTCATCCCCCATAAGTATTTCATCCCTCGTATAGTATTTCATCCCTCGTATAGTATTTCATCCCCCTCATATAGTATTTCATCCCCCATATAATTTCATCCCCCATATAGTAAATTTCATCCCCCATAAGTAATTCATCCCTCATATAATTTCATCCCCCTCATATAGTATTTCATCCCTCATAGGTATTTCATCCCCATATAGTATAGTATTTCATCCCCCCATATAGTAATCCCCCATATAGTATTTCATCCCCCCATATAGTATTTCATCCCCCCCATATAGTATTTCATCCCCCCATATTCATATAGTAATTCATCCCCATATAGTATTTCATCCCCCCATATAGTATTTCATCCCCATATAGTATCATCCCCCATAGTATTTCATCCCCCATATAGTATTTCATCCCCCCATATAGTTTTCATTTTTATAGTAATTCATCCCTCATATTGCCATATAGTATTTGTTTCATCCCCCCCATATAGTATAAGTTTCATCCCTGAATCATTCATCCCATATCTGCCTGTAGGTCGCAATATAACCTGAAGGTGAAAGATTCCCCCCCCCCCCTTCTAGTGTGTCCCCCCCCTACCTTTTGCGTTCCTCCACTTTCCAAAGGAGTGAGAGATAAAATCTAGCTGCCTCTAGGATGGGATTAGACGAATAGTGCTTGTTGAGAATTTCCTGTCATGTTACACCATCCTTTAAAGTATTTTCTTAGGAAACTCCAAATTCATGAGCAAAACAAAAGGTCAAACACACCAGATCACGGCACACTTGTGATCAGTGGTAGAACCCACATTTTTCTGAAAAAAAAGCTAGCATCTAGGGCTTTGCCAGCAAACCCAGATATTCAGGATACTAAGAAAACCAAAAAAAAAAATGTAACACTAGGCTGGCCTACAGGTTTTTTTTTTTTTTTTTTTTAAATTTGCCAGTGTCCAATCTGCCTGGTCGCAATATAACCTGAAGGAAAATCATGCTGATAAAATCTAGCTGCCTCTTTTATTGGTGCTTACACCATCCTTTAAAGTATTTTCTTAGGAAACTCCAAATTCATGAGCAAAACAAAAATCTGATCACTAGAACCCACATTTTTTCTCCCATCTAGGGCTTTGAGATTCATTAATTTTACATATCATGGTAAGGGCTTCAAGTGTTTGTCATTTTCAAGCTTTTCAGTGATGATCAAAAAAAAAAAAAAATTATCATGTTCAGTTGAAAAGTATAAAAAAGTGGTCGCATCTGTTCATTTCCAAGCTAAATTAAATTTAGAATCTTTTCACGGAATCCAAAATGTACAAAACAAGTCTATCTGCATTAAAAAAAAGGGATCATGTAAAACTGTATTTGAAGTCTGCGGTTTCTTCTGAAGAAAGGAGAGTTTTCATAACATGTCCCAAGGGTCCAAGCATGACTTCGATGTCACTTCACACCATGGTGCTTTTTCCTTTACGTCCTCCTTGTCTTTTGTCTTTTCTGAAGTCTCTTTGCGTCCTCTGGATTGCCAGTGTCAGCTCCTGTCTGTCCAAGCGCACGTACACCTTGCAGACGGCTTGTCAAGTGCAGCAGCAGGGGAATCAACTAGCAAAGGACAGAAAATAACTCATTAGGACTTGAAAAGAAAATCTTCAACACTAATGTGAAGCCTACCCAAAGTATACATACATACTGTAACTGGTATGAGCGTGGTCCATTTACTGTATTTAACATAATAAAATAAAACATTGAAATATCCCAAAACACACCAGAGGTGACCTAAATCTGCAATCGCTTCTGGATGGTCCTGCCATCTCAGATATAAAACAAAGAAACTCAAAATCGTACATTGAACAGAGTGCTTTTAAAGAGATACATTTATTTGATCTGTGAATAATCATTAGTAATGTCTAAAAATGTTTTATGCCGAGTTTATAAGTATACAGTATAGTGACACATGGAGCAGCCATTGCCAAGGAAAGCTCTGTTTTTCTGTTTGGTAGTGCAGCAAAAAGGCTACCTCTTGCTGATGCATTTGTCTTTGTGCAGCTACTATACCAGCAGCAGTCCCTATTGATCTACAGTATAAAGGCCAACAAGTCTTCTTTCAGCCAGACACCACGTAATCTATGCTGTCTAGGGTTTAGGTTATAAGAGGAAGCTTAGAAGTATCATTTTTTCTTTTAAATACATGGCATGCCCTGTTCAAATGTGATTAATAATGAGAAGTCAATTTTAAAGGATAAAGTTCACCTTCGGGAACGTGTTACATGTTCTACCCCTTTTTAGGGTGAAATATGTAACATGTTCCTACTCCTGATCTCCCCACTCTCTGTGACAGCAGGCTGAGGATCTTTTCTTCCCATACCCACAGTCACAATTTTAAAAAATATGACTGTGCAGGGTTCCGCCCGCCCGGCCACGTCATTCATTCAGAGTTCTGCAAATGGGAGAACTACAACTACCATCAGCTTTTGTGGCTGGCGACTTGTAGTTCTGGCGCTGGTGAGCACTCTAGGTAGTTCATTGATTCTTCCGGTCATTGTGTAAATGCCTACCCGTACGAGCAGACAGCTTGCACTGGCAATCTGCAGGAGCCCTGCATTGCGCCCACGATCTGCTAATCACAGATGCAATGCTCTGCAGTCTGCTAATATATATATAAAAAAAATAATAAATGTACATTTTTCACCTGCAAAAAGATGTGATTATTTAAAAAAAAAAAACTGTATCCTTTAACTAAAGCTATATTTGGGACACAAGAAATATAAAAGGAGGTGTTTGATCCTCCTCAACTTAACACTGTTTACATATGTCAGGTTAACAAAGCATGAAGGAAGGCTCAAAAGATCTTACCATCTACCAAGACTTCTTAATCAGAGACCACAAACACTTTAGGAATTTTCTTTAGGACAATTCCTAAAGATTCCAGAATTCATTTATGACCCAAGGCAATCAAATTTGGTATTTTGATGCTATAAAGTTAAATATTCACTCAACCCAAACAAAATTAACTATGTTATCCTGTAAGACTAAAATACATGTTGCCTTCTTGAGACGCAGTACTTAACACTCTAGTTGCAAAGTGTTCAAAAATAAGGATATTTGATTCACCTGTAAAATCCTTTTCTTGGAGTACAGTACAGGACACAGGCTTTTTTAAGATTGGACCATGCTGCCATCTTCAGGTGAGGACACTTATATACAAAATTGTTAGAGGACAGTCCATATAACCCCTAAATGCAGAACGAATAAGCGAGCGCTAAAATAATACCCAATTCATTAGCAGTTGTACACCAAAAAGGTACCAATAAACCTTTCAAGACACATATAAAAGGAGGGGGTGCAGCGCTAGTAAAATCAACAATATCAAATAAATACAGATATAAATATAAAGTGACAAGGTGCAAATACATAAGCCACTGGATGGTGGCCAAAAAGGTGCTAGAAGGTGTTGACCCAGTTAAAAGTCCGCAAAGAAAAAGTGTGGATAAGATCTCAAATGATTTCAGGATATCCAGTGATACGGACCGTGGATCAGGTGATAGATTTTAATAAGATTGCGCACTCACCAGATATGCAAATCAAATGTGCATAGATAGTAGTAAACCACTGGTCATCAGGATATCATCCAATAGGTCTGGTCAGGTTATCCCTTACTCCCTGGCGGTGCTATCACTCATAGGGGTCACCACACAATGGATGCAGCCTGCTCATATGGGGGTCTCCTCACAAAGGATGCAGCTGGTTCTGCAGATGTGATTAGCTCCCAAGAGAGCTCAAAGAAACAAAGGAGCCCACATAGTGCAATATCTTTAAGATAATTTTATATCCATATATCAGTGTGAATAACAGTGGGGAATGAAAACAGGTCCAAAACAAGGGAACCATGCTCATAAATCAAAGAACCGATTAAGGCACCTTACGTCCAAAGCTGGTATCAGAAAAAAGCCTGTACATCAACTTGGGAAAACGTTAAACACATAGGAACAGAAGACCAGGTGACAGCTTTGCACATCTAAGTAACAGAAGCCTAGTGCTGGAAAGCAGAAGAGGCAACAACTGAATGAGTCGTGTGAGCCCTAACAGGGAAAGGAGGATTTCAATCATTCAAGGTGTAAGACTTAGTGATAACCTGCTTAATCCACCTATGGTGGAACAAGATGCAAAACAGCTCTTGCGAGAGTCTGCAGGCAAGACAGAGGGAACCTAATGGATGCAATGGCTGAGAGATTAACTCACAGTGTGTGCACAACATCTAAACAATGGAAGGAAATCTTGTGGGGAGCTTTGGAGGACCACAAAAAGAAAGGAAGTTGATGGAAGGAGGAAACCACCTTAGGGAGCAATGAAACTAGAACAAGGAAGGAAACAGGACAAGGTCGCCAGTTCTGAGACCTGTGTCAATGACTTGATAGCCACAAGAAAAACTACCTTATGAGTAAGGTACACCAAGGGAATATCCAAAATAGGCTCAAAGGGAGGCTTTTGTAAGGCTGGCAGGAACAAATTCATATCCCAAGGCAAAACAGCTGTATAAATGGGCAAGAGATGTGAGCCTCAACCTGAACAAAGGCCTTTACCAGAGAATACGGTGAAGGAAATAAATATTTGATCTCCTGCTGATTTTGAATGTTTGCCCACTCACAAAGAAATGATCAGTCTAAAAATTGAATGGTAGGTGTATTGTAACACTGAGAGACAGAATAGCAACAACAAATTCAAAAGAAATGCATTTCTAACAAATTATGCACTTATGCATGTTCATGAGGGAAATAAGTATCTGATCCCCTATCATTCAGCAGGATTTCTGGCTACCATGTGTCTTTCATACAGGTAACAAGCTGAGATTAGAAGCAGTCTCTTAAAGGGAGTGCTGCTAATCTTATTTTGTTACCTGTATAAAAGACAGCTGTCCACAGGAGCAATCAAACAATCAAATTCCAAACTCTACACCATGGCAAAGACCAAAGAGCTGTCCAAGGATGTCAGGGACAAGATTGTAGACCTACACAAGGCTGGACTGGGCTACCAAACTATCGCCAAGCAGCTTTGTGAGAAGGCAACAACAGTTGGTGCAATCATTCGCAAATGGAAGAAACACAAAACAACTGTCAGTCTACCTAGGTCTGGTACACCATGCAAGATCTCACCTCGTGGAGTGTCAATGATCATGAGAACAGTGAGGAATCATCCCAGAACTACACGTGAGGATCTTGTCAATGATCTCCAGGCAACTTGGACCAGTCACCAAGAAAACAATTGGTAACACACTACACTGACAAGGATTGAAATCCTGCAGTGCTCACAAGGTCCCTCTGCTCAAGAAAGCACATGTCCAGGCCCATCTGAAGTTTGCCACTGAACATCTGAATGATGCAGAGGAGGACTGGTTGAAAGTGTTGTGGTCAGATGAGACCAAAATCAAGCTCTTTGGCTTCAACTCAACTAGCCGTGTTTGGAGGAGGAGGAATGCTGCCTATAACCCCAAGAACACCATACAAATTGTCAAACATGGTGGTGGAAACATTCTGCTTTGGGGGTCTTTTTCTGCTAAGGGGACAGGACAACTGCACCTTGACTGCTTCTCTGATTAATGCTCTCCTTGCCCGGCCTGTCAGTTTAGGTGGACGGCCATGTCTTGGTAGGTCATCACAGAGGACAAGGGGGCACTATTTACGTCTGGAGGAAAAGAAATGTAATCTCCAAATACGGAAAGGTTTCTTCACAGTAAGAGCTGTGAGAATGTGGAATAGACTCCCTCAAGAGCTGGTTCTGGCCAGCTCAGTGGATTGCTGTAAAAAAGGCCTGGATTCTTTCTTTGATACACAGAATATAACTGGATACTAACATTTATAGGTAAAATTGATACAGGGAATATCCGATTGCCTCTTGGGGGATCAGGAAGGAATTTTTTTTCCCTGCAGGAACAAATTGGATCATGCTTTGCTGGTTTTTTTGCCTTCCTCTGGGTCAACTGTGGGGTGTAGGGTTATAACTTTTTTTTTTTGGTTGAACTGGATGGACTTTTGTCTTTTTTCAGCCAGACTAACTATGTAACTATGTTTGCAGTTGTGCCATACTCTTTCCATTTTCGGATGATGGATTGAACATTGCTCAGTGAGATGTTCAAAGCCTGGGATATTTTTTTTTTTATAATCTAAGCCTGCTTTAAACTTCTCTACAACTTTATCCCTGACCTGTCTGGTGTGTTCCTTGGCCTTCATGATGCTGTTTGTTCACTAATGTTCTCTAACAAAGCTCAGAGGGCTTCACAGAACAGCTGTATTTATACTTAGATTAAATTATACACAGGTGGACTCTATTTACTAATTAGCTGATTTCTGAAGGCAATTGGTTCCACTAGATTTTAGTTAAGGGTATCAGAGTAAAGAGAGCCGAATACAAATGCACGCCACACTTTTCAGATATTTGTAAAAAATTTTGAAAACCTTTTACCATTTTCTTTCCACTTCAAAATTATGTGCCACTTTGTAGCGGTCTATCACATAAAACCCCAATAAAATACATTGACATTTTTGGTTGTAACATTACAAAATGTGGAAAATTTCAAGGGGTATGAATACTTTTTCAAGGCACTGTATATGGGCTGTCCTCACAGCTTTGTTTGCCTCACCTGATGGTGGCAGCACAGAGATGTCTAATTCCTATCGCCCGACGCCCGGTACATGTATTTCTGGGTGCCGGGAAGGAATTTTTTTCCTCAGCCCTGCTGCGGGCAAGCAGCAGGGCTCACCTGTCAGGTGGAAGCAATCGGGCAGCAGCTGCGGGCTCGAGACTGGTTTGGCGGGTGCCGTGGGATGTTGTATAGGGGAGGGAGGAGAGGAGAAGAGTGGACACATCTGCTCCCCTCCCTTTCTTCTCCTGATCCGGACTTGATGTTACGTCACTTGCATGTCTCAAAAAAGAGAACCTGTCACCAAAAGTTTTTTTTTTTTTTTTAAATGGAAGTTACACCCAAGCAAATAACACCCCCAAATTTTTCAGGGCCCCCACCCCCACATACGTATGCACATACTCGGGCGCCAACACATGAAAATGTGGATTGCAATACATGTTACATACATGCCAGAATGAGAGCAATAATTCTAGAACAAGACCTCCTCTGTACACCACACTGATGACCTATAAGGAGCTTTAAAAGTGTCGCCTATAGAAAATATCGGGTACTAAAGTTTGTTACCATTTCACAAGTGCGTGCAAATTTAAGGTTTGACATGTTAGATATCTATTTACTCGATGCAACCTTGTCTTTTATATTGTACAAAAAAATTGGATAATGTATTGGTTTTTGTGCCCTAAAATTAACATATGTGTATTTTTTACTGAAATTTTGAGTTTCCTAGACCTTTGTGATAATATCGTGTGACATAAAAAAATTGGAACTACGGCTATTTTATTCTCTAGGGTCTCTGCTTTCAGGAAATATACGTTTGAGGGTTTTGTGTCATCTTCAGGCCTAAAATGATTTTTTTAAAACGTGTGCAAATAACGCAAAAAACAGCTCTGGCAACGAAAGGGATAAAGGATAAGCCGGACACTCCCCTTTCCTGACGAGCAGCCAATCGGTGCTCAATAGACTGCAAGGTCTCCCCCCTCCCTGCTAGTTCCCAGGTTCGGTACTGGAGACAGGCAGGAGGGGGGAGGAGGAGATAAACAGTGCAATGTTAAAAATATGAAACGTTTAAGTCGCTATAAAGCCCCTTTTGTTTTTAAAAGCCCGGGCATTACTTAAAGCAGATTTAAATACGGTTTTGGTTAAAATTTATGTTTTTCTATCAGGACACGCAGATTGTCATGAGGGACAAGTAGATTGGGACACCGATTTAGTCCCTGGACAAGTAGTTTTTTGAAAAAATGTCCACACCCCTGAAGCATATAACCTATGGACAAGGTTTAAAGGAGCCTATGTCCTGTACGATTAAGTGATTTTTGTACTTCATTGGTTACAACAAGGCGCATTTTGATTTATGTTTTTGACTTCATAACTAAAACGTTTTTACGGTTTTCAATAAACACAGGGCTATCTTCTGGTACATAAATATTTGCAATGTGCCAAAAAATTTTTATGAAAAATGTAAAGCAAATAAAAAATCCTCTGAACACTGCATTTCCAAGAGTAAAATGCTGAGGTACATGAGCGTGCAATTTGCTGTGCTCAGAACAGTCATTTTTATGAATCTGAATCCATATTCAGATTATTGTATGTTCTGGGGCCCATTCACAGTGCTCTGCTTTGGTCTGCAATATTTAGCGACACAAGCCTAGAAAATTCTGCATTCAGGAGTTCTGTGTTTGAACCATATTTAACACTGTACACATGTAAAGAGTGTGTAATCAGCAGGCGCCACCCATTACACACTGTGCACATGTTGGTCCTAAATCTATCATTTGTGTGGAGACACTGACACTGCATGAATGACTCAGGAGATGATTCAGGGCTTACATGTAAATAGTGTTTAATCACCAGGTTCCACTGCTGCTGATTCCCCACTATTGTTTATATTTTGTCTCTAAGTCATTCACGCAGCAAAATGCATGCGTTGAAAATACACATCTCAGATCATATGGATATATATGGGGTACTACACATGAATTCAGATGCAGTGCGGACAAACATTTGGTGCAGAACCTTGCTGCCAGAAGAATTTTGCTTAAAAACAATACAGAGGTTTGCATGAGACCTATAGAGTCGCCAACTTTAATCAAGAAATTCCTATTTGAAAAATGTACGCTGACATGTGAGGGATGCAATCCCTGCACAGTTGTCTATGAGCTCTTTCAAAGCTTTGCAAAAACATTGTCCTGCTCAGTTCATGGTGTAATGCAACTATCATGATCCCTGGATCTCATCTTATCTGCTATATTGTATTTTATTTTCCAATATAAAAATTACCAAATGAGTGCCTGCTTGTTAAAATAATTTAAAAAAACATGCAGAAGTTCAGGTGTACACATTTTAATGACTCAAATCACAGTAAATCATAACACAAACAAGGTATGCTCCCAGAGTCCTGAATGAAGTAAAACTGATAGTGAAGCGTTACCTTATCATGATTGTACCCGGCTAACAGCAGAAGCAAAGTCAGTGGAAGTGCAAGATAGGAGCCTTGAACAACATCCTGTTCAGGTAATTTTCTCTGTGAGCATAAACATAAAATTACTATAAAATAAATTATTATTGTAAATACTCAACGGTTACATTTTCATTAGCAAGCCAACAGTAATAAGGAGGTACACAAAATGTATAAAAGTAATTCCACTGTTTCCTGGTTCAGATTTAAAAACTCCCTGTGATACCGCACTAGATTCACTGTCCAATGAGCAAGCTGGAAGTGAAGAGAACAAAGGAAGCTATAAACTCATAGAAACCACCATTAGTCCCAAGCTGCACATATGCCTGGATCACAGCTCTACTGTACTGATGGCACACACCTTTGAACCTTTGCTCTGGTATTCCAAGTAGCCATGTTACTGAAAGTAATCATCAATCTGCCTCTTGTTTGATTGAGAAAACAGGCTGTCAAAGTGACTAGGGAAAAATGGGTGGAAAGATATTTTTATTGCTGCCTTTGCTTTGTTTGTTTATTAAAGCAATGTAAGCTTCCACCAACCCAGAGAACACAGTACCTCCAACCAGGCTCTGAATGGATGCTGGCTGCACAGAAATCAGTAAACAGAGAATTATCTTTAGAGAAATCTATAGAGAAAATAAAGCAAAGAAAACTAAAGCAAAATTACATATTTCTAACTTGCATTATTTATACAAACGCATTTGTTTCTCTATTTTATATATAATGGTTTGTCAATGAGACCAAAATACATCAGCTTTTCAAGAAAACAGTATAAAAAAAAGTGTAACAGTGTTCGACTAACCGTAGGATTAAATGTCAGAGTGATGTGTTTGTGATATCCATGAGTGCTGAAGGATATCTGAGGCAGGGTGTAGTCATATTGGGATTTAGGCAGAGTGGAATCCAGTTGTACAACATAGGTCTGTAAACAAAAAGGAAACAAAACAATACAAATGATAAAATAAACAGCAAATGTTAGGAATACATGTGCGATGCCTGTGAGTTTGCAATCTAAATTAAAGTGATATTAAAAGCTTAATTTTTTTTTTCCTCCAAAATAAGAGCTTTACATTTACCTGCTCTATGCAACAATATTGCACAGAGCGGCCCCCCTTACCTCCTTCTTCTGAAGTCCCCTGATGGCACAGTCCTCCCTTCCTCTGCTTCGTGTGCGGCCATAGCAAGACGTGTGCTATAGGGGTACTTGTGCAGGCATGCTCCTGAGCTGGGCTATGTGCGTCCACAGACACAGAGCAGCTCATTCACACCTCCCACTCAATGGATATGACTGAGAGCAGTGGTAGCCAATGGCTCCTGCTGCTGTCAGTTTGTTTTGTGAAAGAGGGAAGAGACCAGTGCTGCTGCAGATGGGTACAGCACTGGATCAAGACAAGACTCAGGCAAGTACTAAAAATGGGGAAAAACAGCAAGTGGGAGATTTTTTTTTTTACCTCGATGCAGGAAATGTATTACGGTAAGAAAAAAGAAAAACAAAAAAAAAAAAAAAACTTTTTGACTTTAGAACCATTTGATTTTCAAAATAAGTAATACTCATTTACCTCACATTGCCTTATATTAAAACTGGCCCTATATCAGCATTTAAGAGGATGTATCATTAATTGCAAGATTGCACTTTATGGATCATAGGAAAAACTGGGGAGACAGAGGCATAAACTACCAGTGTTTCTAATGCGATAGGAAAGCAAGCTTTACATTAACACAATAAATATGTTTTACACCTAGTGTGACATTGTTGAAAATAAATACAAGATGTCTCACAAGATCATAAATGTGCGGAGGATGACGGCACCACCATAGTTGTCCTCAGCTGTAATAGTGGAATACTACAAGGGCAATGAAGTGTATGAAATATTGTATAATGCTTTATGCATGTTTATATTAGGGATGAGGTTTGCAGCTACCATGGCCTTGCGGTGGAAAGTACGTAAAAATTTTGTTTGCTTTTAACCTTTGATTTTGAAATGCATGTAATTTCCTGAATGAAACCCACAAAAACTTAGAAATTTGTCACTATGTTCAAAAATGAATGTCAATTTGACCCCACCAAAAATTACAAAATCACATTTTCAAAGCAAGCACAGGCCTAACAGAACAAATGTTGAGACACAAAGCACACAGAGTTCTCTTTCAAAAAAGAAAAAAAAAAATTATAGTTGTAGGAGAATGTGAAGGAGGAGGAGGAAAAGGTTATGTTAGCAATGCTTGGCACCTACTATCTCCCTGTGGCAGTATTTCTACCTCTCCTTTATAGGCTTGCCTGGCATTTTTTGGAAATAGAAAAATTGTGTCAGCAACGCAGAGGAGCTGTATAAGTGCTTGGCCTCTGTTCTGCAGCCCAACCACCATAAATAGATTTGAAAAAAAATATATAAATATCTGAAAATAAAAAATTAAAAAAAAAAAAAAAAACATGGCTGGGATTCTGTCACTCGGCTACAACCCATAACCTGCTAGATTATATTATTATTATACAGTATTTATATAGCGCCAACAGTTTGCTCAGCGCTGTACATTATAATGGGAGACAATATGGAGAAGGTTACTGCAAAGTGCATGAAGAGGGGGGATCAAACTGTCAGACGTGAAGGTAGTTAAAATGTAGCTTTTTTGCAGCTCCAGATGGCAGCTGATGATTGCTGTACATTGTAACGCTCCCCTGCCACTTCTGCCTTCTCCTTTAGCCCCAGGTCACATCAGGTGTGACTTGGCATGCGATTTGCATGCCCTACGACTTGAAAATCGTATGCCAAGACGCACCCTATTGTCCGCTATTATAGCGGTCATATCGGTGCGGTTCCAACTGATTTCTAAAGTAGTACATGTACTACTTTTGTTGCGATTTGCATAGATATCTGTGTCAGATGTCTTGCAAAATGCAATGAAATCAGCAGGTCACCCGATTTTGAAATTGTGTGACTTCACTGCAAGTCACACGATTTCAAAATCGGTTTTGATGTGACCCGGGGGTGTAAGGCGTGTCCCACTCTCCCCTTCTTGCCATTCAAATACAAATACAATCTGACACATCACCTTCATACTGCTCACCGGGGCCCACCTTGCAGAAAGAACCAGCTGCTGGCCCTTTGAAAGGATGGTGCTGCTGACCTCAGCCTATATGAAGACTACTCAGGAGTAATGACAGGCCCTATATCAGCACAGGGGGGGCTGAACAAAAATCAGAAAATACTACATGATATGCAGGTGTAAAAGTGACAATGTTTCACGTTGAAAGCTGAAGTGATGTCACATTCTTTTGCATCTGTTTTGTGATGAGACAGCAAGTTAACAGGTTGAAAGCCTCACTTTTGTCATTCACAAAAGTTTGTGAGTTTGCACCTCTGTGACTGAGTTGCCAATTGATTTGCAGTGTCGCTAGGTACAGTATCAAATGTTATGACAGCATATATAGTTTCTGAGAAAACGTCATCTGATAAGCATAAGTGCTGTCAACATGTTCAACTGACCAAAAAAGAGACAAAAGGGCAATGCACAGGATGTTGCAAAAGTGACTGCAGAGCTCAGTCTCAGTCTTCCAAAACCTGTATCCACAAAAACTGTGCAGAGGGAACTCCATAAGCAAAACATTCACAGGCAAGCTGCAATTGCCAAACCACCAGTGACCGGTATAATTGCTCAGAAGAGGAGAGAGTGGTGCATCACCCATAAATTATGGACTATCGATCAACAGCTTCACACTGTTCCCAACCATCAGACGTGTTTACATGTGGCGAACACCATCCCAAGCTAATGGCCAGGACTGTCTTGTGCCAACGGTAAAGCATGGTGGTGGCACAATCATGGTTTGGAAAGCCATATCTTAGTATTCTACAGGCCCCATCATCACCTTGAAAGGTAGAGTCACTGCCAGTGACTGTGTACAAATTTCGGCCGACCATGTGGCTCCCATGGTGCAGACATTGTTTCCCAAAGATAGCGCTATTTACCAAGACAATAATGCTCTGATTCACACAGCTGGTGTTATCAAATCATGGTTTGACAAGCATGCAGATGAAGTCTCGCACCATCCCTGGGCAACGCAGTCACTGAACCTCAATATTATAGGGCCACTATGTTTCCATAATTTTGTCCAAACCCTAACACCACAAAAATTTATTTTATATTTATATGTATTTATTTTTATATATTTAACCCCCGCTGATGCTCCTGTCCCCTCCCGCTTGCCAACAGCCCGCAGAGCAAGAAGCTTGCTATGGAGGCATCCAAGCAGGCTCACTCCTGGGCAGTTGCTCTGCATCTTCATTCACACACGGGGGTGTGGAGCGGTCTTGCCCCCTCTTTATTCTCACTGGCTGTGATTGACAGGAGCAAATGGCTCCAGCTGCCGTCTCAGCCAATGAGGAAGGAGAGTCCTCAGAGAGCCAAGGCCCTCGTGCACATGGCTGGATCGTGATAGGGCTTAGGTAAGCATTAGGGGGGCGCTGCACACAGAAGGTTTTTTCTTACCTTTATGCATAGACTGCATAAAGGTAAAAATTACTTGCGCTTTTACAACCACTTTAAGTAGAAATCCTTATTTAGAAATTTACTTTTGATCTTAGGCAAGGTAAACTTTTTATACTGCTAGTAAGTTACAGGCAGTTAATGTCGCAAATTAAAAATAAAGCGTTTACCTCTCCATCTCGGAGCAGTGGGGGAAAATGGAAGAAAAGGGACTGACCCAGAGACACAGACTGTATGGGGTTGTCCAGATTTTCACTCTCGTAAAGCTTTACCTGTAAAGAAAAAATAGCACAAGCAAAAGTCAAACAAAACCAAGTTTGCATAAACATTTTAGGTCTTTAGGTATACTACGAGAGAGATAGAATAGAATGAACACATTCTGCTGCAGGTATGTATCTGCACTTGATTTACAGAATGTTCATTGTCTCAACAGTTGCTGGTTTTAATACATTTCTTCTTAGGCCTTATAGGCTCAGACAACGTATATATAAAACATATGTAAAGAAAGTTTTTTTTTTTTTGTTTTGGGTTTTTTTTTGTGATCCTTTGTCCTGAGATTTATGAGTCTGTGAGACTGGCACAGTAATGAAGAAGTCTTTTGTCAGTATAAGCAATACGTGTATGTAGTATATAGAGCAAATAGTCACAGGATTTGTCATCGATAAAATGTAAGAGTATGTGCCATACATCTGTTTACTGTAGCACCCAATAAGCATATTTATGGCAAAATAAAAATAAAAAATGATATGGGGTGTTGCTAGTATATTTAGCTCACTGCTCAAAACTGACTTCCAAGTAAAGCACCTTCAGTTTTCTTTCCCCATTATCAAGATTCAACCCATGTTTCTAGTAAACTGTCAATAAAGGAATATAAACCTACCAATAGAATTCAAGCAGTAAAAAGTCCAACTTGGGTAAAAGTAAGTAAACTAAGTATATTTATATCAAGTCAACCCCAATTAATGTAATTTTCTTTAAGCATTACTTCGTTGTATAAAATTCAGCTAACACTGATCTCATTTACCAAGAATTCAAGATTATTTAAGGTCACTAAGAAATGCAGAGAATAACCAAACCTTTGATAGCCTGTAACAAATTGGAAAATCTTTTTTATAGATCAAGATTTCCCCCTAGTGGTGATTCTTGAAAGTAACAGAATACATTCTACCTGTTATGATATTCAATATTGAGAAAGATGTCTACATTGCAGCTTGTCATCATATAATTAATATTTTTTCTCACGCAATAAGATATTAGTTTAAAAAATATTGTGGATAGGTTTTACTGTTACAGAAAAAAAAAAAGAGAAGGACACAAGGCCATCTATTTCAACCAACAGATAAAAAATACATAAAAATTGAGCATTGGAAAAATATTATTATAGAAAAAATTGAACATAGCAAAAAATGAACAAACGAAAAGGAATTTTAAAAAAAAAAAAAACGTCCTCCAGCAGCTTCAGGTCCTGCAAAGAGTACTGAAATTTCGTCTTTGGTCCCTGGTGTTTAGCCAATTTTAACAAACTTTTCCTGACAAGCACATGCACATAGTACGTGTGAAAGGGCCTTTAAGAAAAGAATATATCAGTGTGGTGCAGTGTTTTGTGTCTCATTTTTACACACGTTTTACATGCATTTTTGAGTGCGCTGCCATTAAAATCTATTAGAACGCACCATTTCAAGAAAGTACATTAAAGCCCTGCATGCATCTTTGATGCACTTTCATAAAACATGTGCTCTAATAGAGTTTAACAAAAACGCATCTAAAAAGGCGTGTAAAACACACATAAAAAACATGAAGTGGAAAATGCACACCGCACTGATGTGAACCCAGTCTATGCTTTAGTATTGAGCTGCTTGGTAATCTTATAAGTCTAGATAGCCCTAGATTCACACCTATGTAGATTGTATTTGATTCATTTCTGCTGCGTTTATTTTTCATTTTTTTAATTTTTATTTTTCTTGTTGCTAGGCAGATTTTAAATGTCAAACGCATCAAAACCACAGCAAAAATGCAAAACATGCTTTTCTGCAGCATCCGCATTGAAGTCTATAGAACCAAAAACTCAACATTTTGCGTTCAAAAAAGTCCCTGACTCTTTCCAAAAACCGCACCGGGTGAAAAAAGCGAAGACGTGAACCTGTCCATAGGAAATCATGTTAAATGGACTGTACTGAGTTGCTGCAAAATGCTGCAGAAAACACTTAGGTGTGAACCTAGGGTAAAGAAGGACTACATTTTCAGCTGCCATCGAACTCTAATGGCCTGAAGAAACAAGGTGTGAGGTACTGAGAAATGAAAGTGGCACTATGAGAAAAAATAAATATGACATTTCACTTTGTCACTCTCATTAACACAACAGTTTTTTTTATGGATCCCCTCCCAATCACCTGCTGATTCTGCCAGTAGATCATTTATTTTTCAACTTCCAGTAATAGGGTGACAAAGCAGTTCGCTCTGCAGCACAATTGACAAATAGTAACTGTAAATAGTGAAGCGCTATAAATCCTATCTATTAAACACAGATAAATATTATATATGAACCCTGATGAAGTCACGAGTCACGTGCCGCAACGCGTCGGTACGTCATTTCCGGTACGTGGGGACGCACTTCCGGCAGCGGCCATCTTGTTACACCCAGTATACCATGCAGTACACCCATAGTATGTGGTGAAAGGCGATTGTTACTGGGGATACATTGGAGGAGTGAATAAGCTGCGCCGAGCAGTGGTCTTTTTCCTATCCCATGGTCCCTGTGATGAGGAGTGGAGAGGATCTGTTACTGTTTATTATAGCCCTGTGTGGGTCAATGAGTGGAGGTGATGAGTGGCAGCAGGCATTGCTGCCATTTGAGGATTTCTGTTAATTTTTCACTGGAGTGAAGATCACATCAGCACAGATTCACTAGCATGGACTTTGTTTTCAATTAACACATATATATCAAATTTGATTGGTTTGACGTTGTTTGTATATACACAGTGAGGTGTTTTTAGAGATATTGATAAATAGCACGGGAATTTTTTCTTCTTAAAGAATCACTTCACAATTATCTGTAGTTTGTCACATATTCAAGGTCATGTTCCACTTATACTTGTGGAAAGAGATATTTGTTTGTAATTACTTGTCACTGAGCACTATTGTGTGTGCACGGCTAGTAATATATAATATTTACTTCTGTATTTAATAGATATGATTTATAGCGCTTCACTATTTACAGTTACAGTTACTTTATATCATCACTTATTGGTTTTAAGTTAAGTGGCAGCAGCTATAGTTAGGTATGGCTGAATTAGTTTTCCTTTTTTTTAACTGGTGATTTGGAAAGTAATTCTGTTATTTTTAAACAGAACAAGCTGTTCTGCAGATGTAGCAGTTACAAGGTTGAGACAAACCATTTACCAGCAAGGTGCATAGAAAGATCAGCTATGTAAAACCTTTATGCCAGATTAAAAAAAAAACTGTTTATAAGGTGTTAGTTGTAGTTTGGCTTCAATTTGTTGATGTACCTAAACCTGTTAGTATACCTAATGTTTCCTCCCCCCCCCCAGACTGGCAATGCTGCTGGATGTTGATGCTGGTTTTCTCTCTTGACCATGTTCCTTCGACTGTCAAGGATTGAAACACTCCTCCCAAACCTGGTAGACTTGCAACTGTTGTAAGGATTTTCCAGTGGCAGAGGAGGAAGGACATCCCCATTGTTAGTGGTTACTGGGGTGGTGATTAACCAAGATATAGAAGTTCTTGCATGGTTGGATAGTCGCATGGGCAAGTGGAAGGAAAGAGCCTGCTTTTTGCATGCCAAGTAAATGTTTTGTTGGAGAGTTCTTGAATGGAATTGGGCAAAAGGCACTGCCCCGAAGAAGGCAACTCTCATGTTGAATCTCAAAGTGGGATTTCTCTTGGATCTCAGTTTTTGAGCATGAGCTCTCTTATAGAAAGAACTTTTCTCATCTGAAAGAAAGACTTTTGCTTTGGATGCATCCAGGACCAGAACCAAGTATTCCTGGTGATAAGGTCGCAGAGCATATTTTTTGGGAATTGATCACAAAGCGAAAAGCCTGGAGCAGTTGATTTGTCCTGTGGACATTTTCTGACAACTGCCTGGGAGAGGAGTTTTTCGGAAGAAAGTCATCTAGATGGCCTGTGAACATCCTGTCTTCTGGACAGGATCGGCAGAGGAAATAAGACCTTTTTAGAATGCTCTGGGAGTAGGGGATAGCCCAAAGGGCGGTATGACAAACTAGAAGTGATTTTCTGTCACTGCGAAGCCATGAAAGTGCTAATGAGGTGGGCAAATGGGAACATGAAGATAGGCATCTTGGATAGCCACTGCCAGGCATTCTCTATTTCTCAGAGAGGCAATTACTGATCTTGAGATTCCATGTGGAATTTTGGAAATTGAGGGATTCCTTTGAGGAATTTTAGTTGCAAAATATGGCAAATATCCACACTGGGCTTTGGTACAGTGAATGTGTTTGGGAAAGAAACCTTTGAACCTGTGAAGGTACTGGCATAAATGTGTTGCGCTAAACCTATACAAATATTGCACATATAAAAAAAAAAAAAAAAATAAAATAAAATATATATATATATATATATATATATATATATATATATAGAACATAAACATATAATCATACATAAAAAATGGTGTAGAATAAGGTGAAAATAGAAAAGTTTATATAAAAAGTGCTGACTAGTGAAAGATGTGTTTGTTCCTGCTATCATACTCTGCTACTACTTGACACCATCACCTAAAGTGCTAAGGGGGTACACGCTTACCAGCTCCCCACAACCCTCTTGCAATAACAGTGATCAAGACGCACTTGTGCAATTTTCTATGGTCTCAAGGTTACACTCCAAGCAAGGTGGTATACACTCCTCAAGGTGGTATACAGGAACGCCACCAACAAAAATGCATAATCATCACAAAATAATAGTCCATACAAGGCAGAAAGAGTAGAGCCTCTCCATTGTGTAAAAAATTAAAAAAAAAAATTTTATTGTAAAAAAATATACTCAGAGTTAAAAAACATGTGCATTTAAATACAAAAGTCCACTGACAGATTGGAGCCTCTCAACGCACATATGTATATTTGAAAGCAGAAGAGCTTGATCTGGTAAGTATAAAGCCTGTTCATTATGTCAGATCATTTTCTCATGCCTTTAAAGAAAACACGGAAGACTTGCATGAAAGAGGGCTAATAGTTACATAATTACCCTGCTCAAGGAAAGGGATCCGATTTGTACTCAATTCAAAGACTCATTTTGGGCTACATAGAAACTATTTTTTTTTTCTTCAGACATTTATCAGCCTACCATCACTAATCCAAACAGGATCCCTAGCAGTTCTAAAGAGAGCCACTGTTTCAATCAGGGGTACTAAGAATCAGCACAGGAACGGGGCAAATAAACTTTTAGCACTAAATTCAAGAACCACCCCCAGAAATGTGTATGGCATGTCTCCAAGTTGCCATATTGGATTGAATGTTACAGAGAATGAAAAGTAATTTTTAATAACATTCAAGTACAATATGATTTGTGTAGCAATTGTATATGCTATGTTTTTTATTGCAATTTTATTCCCCACAAAAGTGCAGTTACCCTTTAGGCATTAGTTTAGCTGGTTAGAGATAAGTAATGATTGTTTAGTTGAATTCAAAACTGTTAATTAGAAAGGGCAATTTTTAAACAATTTTGCCCCCAGGACTTTTCCAACATGACATCTAGTTTCTGTAGTAATATGGTGGGTAGTCATGTGCTATTAAGAGGCACTCAGCTTTGCGGGTTGACGATTAAGTATTGCTGCTACCAAAATGGTGGTGAGGGAATAACCCCATGCATGCGCAGTACTGCATGTCCACATCTGTGTGCTTTAGCAGGGTCTCCCACACTCTCTCCAATGGCTTCTATCAATTTGTGGAATTTTGCTGTTAAATTTTTAGCCTTACGGGGTCTTGCACCTCTGGGATGAAGTCACTTGTATGCAAGCCGAATGCTGCAATACTGGCATTTATTTAGGCCTTTGTACTCAGTAGTGACCTGTGTGTAAGCTAACTACAACACGTGTGGGATTTCGTTGCCATATTGTGATAAAAAAATATGACTGTTCTGAGGCATTTTATTGAAGACCAGGCTACAGCTGCCTTGTAAAGGTAATAATGAAGCCGCTACTACACACGTGTGCTGGCGTCTCACTTAGGCAGCCAGAACGCATGCGCATGGTATGCATATTGAACCTGTCCCTCTATTACATCCGTACAATGTGGATTGTCTCTGGGGATCGTTAAACATGTCCGCTGCCGCTATCTGCATTATTAGTTACTGCTCCTTCAACCTGAAGTCTCTGGGGCTAAAAGCAGGTTTTGGGCTGAGGATGAAGAGTCCCACAAGAGACACACTCTGATTCCTAATAAGACTTGAGGAGGGGAAACCTAGAGTACACAGAGGAGCCCAGAAATCCAAGGCTGAGAGGCCAAGGCCTAGGTGAGACTCCCATTGCAGAGATGTTTGTGCCTTGTTTATGACTTCTGTATTCACCACGTTTACTCCACTGATCACACTGGAACAAGCCAACGCAGCCAGGACTATGGCTCACTACTGAAATCTCCAAAAGATATAGGTTGTCAACAGTAGATCCAGCATCACTATAACTGTTATGCATTTGTGAGTGCCACCCTTTATCAATATGCACATATTTGGACATCTTTATCAACATGCGTGTATGTTTCCTTAATTCTAAGTGTACATAGACACAACTTAAAAGAAAAAAATGGGCATTGTAAAGTATAAGTTAGGGTCTCAATCAGTATTTTCACTCCCTAATATTTGCCCCACGAATGCCCAAACAGCAATAGAATATACAGATTCATATTTCAACACTTTTGGAATCATTTGGCATTTTGTAGTTAAAGTGAATAGGTCTACTTCTACTAAAACACCATTAAACATCACAACAGAAAATAAAACACTGTCTGGTGCTTACCAACAAGGTAGGCAGGTACTCCGGTGAAGTCATTACATTTCCGCTTAGATCAAACTGGTTGATTTGACGGAAGGCAATAATATTAACTTCATCTATATCAATATTGCCAACCTAGGAAAACAAATTGAATAAATTGTTATTCACACAGTTCTGGAGCAATCTGCTTAATGGCAATATCAGTACAAATTGATCTTTGTACAATTGTTGGTGTAATGAAATTCCTAACCTTTACCACAATTTTAATATCAATCTCTAACCATGTCATACATTATAAATGTATAAAAACAGAGCATGTGGGCAGTTAGATCACTTTATACACAGAACAAGCAAGAATAAAACCCGCAGATCTACTCTTTTATACTTTTTTTCTATCAATCATATATATATAGGAAAGGAACACCACAGGTTGAAACAGTATAAAGAAGATTAACAAGGGACTCTCAACACTGTAGAACAGCAGGAGCTTCTTCCATTTTCTCCCTCATTTTTGGAAGTCACATATTAGCAAGATTTTCTATTTCCCTTATATTTCTTTTTGTTGTTTGTTGATGGACTTCCAGAATCACATTTAAACACGAGCATGTGCTGTAAATTTTTTTTAACTGTTTTCGATTGATTCCACTACTAACTGTTTTGAAAATTGATAGTTTAAACTAAAAAAAAACAACATGACGGTTATTTTTTTTTCTCCATAAAACATTGCATTTCGATAATTGAAATTAGTCCAATAACATTTCAAAAGTCGAATGATCGAGTGTATCAAACACTTTTTCAGAACATTTTCTAACTGTGTATGGCCAGCATAAGTCTGCCCAACAAATAAAGGACCAATAGTGATGTGATCCAAGAAAACAGGCTGAAGAAGTTAAATGCAAATCTTTACTTTTCCTGTAAAAGTTGAAGTTGGTTCCACCCATTTTCACCTCTTGTGCCTTTGGTGCCTATCTATTGGCCAGCGAGTCTGCCCAGTAAAATACACAGCGATGCTCAGAATGTGAAAAGAGAGCAATTTCACATAAAAAGCAAAGACTACATTTTTAATGCCTTTCTCGCTGTATCTACTGATCATTTTGACATGCCTTTCTCACTGCATCTACGGATGATTTTGACATGTAATTTTTGTTGAAGTAACCTCTGCTTATGTATGTTGCCATCATAGTTTCTGAAAACAGAAATACAGGACACTATGCAACACTATATTGTTAAATTTAAAGAAAAATAAATATTAGACTGGGTTTACCACCACAACTTCAAGGATAAGTAAACTGTACAATATCCAATAACTCACCTCTATAGCTCTGTAGGGTGGTAATGCACGTTCAATATGATCATTTCCCTCAGCCTTCAGCTGGACATGGTATACACAGTCAGGCTGCAAAAAATGTAAACTATTATAATGTAAACAATTATTAAAAAATATATATATTTTTGTGCTCACTACAAAACCCTTTGTCTGGAGTTCTTTAAGGAACATAACTTGATAGTAAGAAACCCAGGGTTATACTGAGACCTACAGGGGAAATGGACACTAGGCTTTTGGAAAACTGAAAGCAAGCCATGCAGTGGCTATAAACCCCCTCACAACTGCTCAGATGTAGCCAACAGTCCAAAGAGAAAACAATAGCACATGAGAGGAGGGGCTTGTGTGAAGTCTAAGAACAGGATGTTAGGAGCACAACAATCATTTTTTCTCTACTGTCCATTGAGTAGGAAACCTAGGATCATCAAAATAAAGCCCAAACAGAGGAGTGGGCACAATAAAAACAAAACAAGTGAACGAACCAGTCCAACAAGAAAAAGAAAACCAAGTGCATTAAATAGTCCCTTGTAGAACCTTTCACACGAAAGTAGCATCTGCAGAAAAAGACACAGTTACCTAAAAACTTTGAAAAAGTATATTTAGAAGATGAGGTTGCGGCCAAATCTGTGACAAAAAGGCCTGGTGACTAAAAACCTAGGAAAAACTTACTGTCAAAGTGGAGTGAACTTAAATGGGAAAAGGAAGCATTTAATTTCATAACTCATATGCCTGAACAGTCAAACTATCTTCTGGGATGACAAAAAGGGAACAAGTCTCTCTAAAAGAAGCAATGGCAGAAAGGAAAACCCTGACATACCTCATTATATCCAGAGTAGGCAAAGACCCAGACCCAGTGTTGGACAAAGGGAAAGCAAAACAATTGTTTATTACAGTGAAAAACAGAAACCACTTTAGTTAAAGCCTCAAAGCAACCTTGTGTTTAAAAAAAAAAAATGGAGCTCCTTACAGGACAATGCTGATAACTCAGAAACTTTCCTGCACAGGTGATGGCAACAAAAAAAAGGGGCAATCTTTTCAAAATGCACCAGTTTGAGCTTACTCCAGAGTTACCACAGAGTGCCACACATCTATTGGTTTTCCACTTTCGATGATAGATCTTGTAGGAAAAAACCGTTAAGCTTTCAACCTGGTGGAGATTACAGAATCTGAAAACACCCTTGTTATTTTATAACCTAGGTTTCAACAACCAGATCATCAAAATCCAAGAAGCTGGGCAGTGTAAATTGCCACTCTGATAACAAATTTAGCTGATCTGTTAGAAATCTTGGAGGATCCACTAACAGATTAATGAGGTCTGTGTTCCATACTGAGAATTACTGGAATACTCTAGGCCTCGATCCTTGAAAGTAGATGAGGTAAAAGTTTCAGCAGCAAAAATACATAGATCAGGTTATACTGACATCATGGTGCTACAAGGGCATCATTGGGTCCAGTGTTCTAGAAACAAACTTGTCCAGATTCTCACTGAATGAAAATGGTAGAAGTCAACTTCCAGTATACCCCAACACAGACAGAGGTCCCTGAAAACACCTCAAGATGGAAAGCCCATGCTTCCTAGTCCAAACTTTATCTTTTGAAAAACATCTGCCTGCCAGTTTGATACCCCAGGAATGTGCACCATAGAGATTGCTGGAACACAAAACTCTAATCAGTACAGGACACACTCTACCACTGCAGCAACACTCCTGGAGCCCCCTGATGATGGATGTAAGCATTGCCTGATATAACACAGACAAATTTACCTCTCAGAAGGAGGGTCCATCAATTTCTCCTGAGGGCAACCATGCTAAATAGATGGTCCAGAAATCTGCCCCAACCCAGAAGACTACTGCCCCTGTAACAATCTTCCAATTGTAGAAAAGAAGAAAAAAAATGCCCTCTAACAATGTTGGGGACAGAAGCCACAAGGAAAGACATCCATGTTCAAGGATGTAACGAAAACATCTTTTCTAGGGAAAAGCTGGAAGTGTTCCATGCCGTGAAAATATTCCATTGTAAATTTAGTACAATTGAGTACTTTGAAGGTGAATACCACCCCATTCCAGCATTTGCATGCAGCTCTGCTGGGAAGACCAACGTTGGTAATACATTTGCCAAACCAGATTCTGCAATTTTGTCTTCTTTAGCTGATGTAGGGAGACCTTGCCTGAAAGTTATCCAGAAGAAGGCTCAAGTACTCCAAGTAAAATTATCGAATCAGAGATGACTGCTTGAAGTTCAGATCAATCTGAGGTCCTCCATAGTCCATATCATGATTAAAACACTAGTGTCCAGAGACAGAGATGTCTGCCTTTGCAGCAGCAGATAACCGATGACTTAAATACTCCTGAGGCAAAGACCAAGGTGACAGAATCTATATGAATACTTGGGGGCAAGGCAAGGGTGCACAGAAGGAAAAAAGAAGAAAAGCGGCTAGTGAGGACAGACAAAGGCATTGAGAGCCTTTACATCAAAGATAGGTTAAATGCCTCTTTTGGGTTTCAGAACTGTAAATAGGTTTTAACCTTTAAAAAGATCAGTTGGGGGAACAGGGATGAAAACCACGTAGTAGTCAACAAGTCCCATATGGCTAAAAAAAGGTATGTCTGATGTTTCTGGGACACAGGAAGACACCCTCTCTGGATCAGGACATCACTCCAAACTGGATTAAAGTGCCAGGAGGAAACTGGTCAGAGGCTACCAAGAGGCCTACAACAACTCTCAAGCAGTTGCAGGAATTTATGACAAAGAGTGGTCATTGTATGCATGTTACAACAATCAACAATATAGCAAATTCTCCACAAATGTGGCTTGTATGGGAGGGTTTCAAGAAAAAAGTCACTCCTCAAGAAAGGTCGCATGCAGTCAAAGCTAAGATTTGCCAAAAAGCACCTTGAAGATTCTGAGGTCACGTGGAAGAAAGTGTAATGGTCAGAGTAAATTAAAATTGAATTATGTGGCCTTAACACTAAACGATATGTCTGGCAGAAATCCACTACAGCTCACCATCCAAATAACACCATTCCTACAGTAAAAACATGGAGGTGCACTGAATATACAGCTGGATAAAACGAAAAACTGTCTATCTTTATTTCAGGCTACAAAGCAACAAAATGTGATTATTTTAAAAGAGGGTGATTCTTTTCTATAACCACTATACAATTAGGTAATGACTCTGTGGCTTTCCTTCTACATCTCACTCTGCTCTCAACAAAACGCTATAAACACACTTTGTTCACCTTTTTAACATGGCCAAGACATGTATCCCTCTATATAGGAAATAGACAGTGGCACCCCCCGATTAGCCTATAGCTGCATAAAGTTTCAGTTGAGATTGCACTCATGGTAAAAAATATGGCTTCAGCAAATAAGAAGGAGGCGCAAATCCTGGTTTTATTGGTTTGACTTTATATTGTACGGATGTCTTTGACTAATGTGACTAAAGTTGTACTGCATTCTGCCTTCTACAGTTAGGCAGAGCTATTGAGTGGCTGGTCTCTCCAAGGGACCTTTTTCCCCTCAGCCCCCTCTCTCAGACATCAACCCCCCCCACAATTGCATTGTGAATACACATTTCAATACAAAACATATTTTTTACGGCAAGACTGGCACATTTGACTTGGTTCTATGTTGACACTCATGTACAGTAACCCCTAAGTTGTTTGTCTGTTAAAACTTTCTACTTACCCTTAAACCACGGAGTCTGAATTTCCCCTCCTCATCTGTGACTGTATCTTCACCATAAATTGCACAGTCTTTCTGTCCCACAGCTTCCACTGACACTCCTTGCTCAGGCTCACCATTTAGGGAGGACACTGTTCCATAACAACTGAAAGAACATGGCAGCTGGCCATTACTAATTTAACCACTGAACACTTTATGTAATAAGGCACAGCTCTCTTGGCAAAATACAATCATGAATATATACACAAAGAATTTCATATATGTGAGTTTTTATATCAAGCTTTCCATGGTCAGTTTATACTCTGAAAGGGGTTGTGTGCACTTTAATCATTGATCCCGAACAATTCTTCTGGCAGTTATGACTGCAATCTTTCTTGGTCTACCTGACCTTGGCATCAAGAGATCCCTGAACTCTCCACTTCTTAATAGGCGATTTAACAGTACCGATTGGCATATTCAAGGCTTTGGACATCTTTTTATGTCCTTTTCCATCTTTATAAAGTTCCATTACCTTGTTACACAGGACTTTTGACAGTTCTTTTCTGATCCCCATGGCTCAGTATCTAGCCTAGTCAGTGCTTCCACATAAGAGCTAACAAACTCACTGACTATTTATACGCTGACACTAATTGAAATTTAAAAAGCCACAGATGTAGGACATTAACCTCTAATTGGCATTTTAATCCGTGTGTGTCTCCTTGTGTGTCTGTACCAAGGCCAAACATATCAGGGTATGTAAACTTTTGATCATGGCCATTTGGGTGATTTCTGTTATCATTATGATTTAAAAAGGAGCCAAACAACTATTTGATAATAAATGGCTTCATATGATAATCATCCTTCAATAAGAGCATTTTGTGGCATGATCAATCATATTTTTAATAATAAAAATTATATATATATATATATATATATATATATATATATATATATATATATATATACATAAATAAATATAAAATAATAATAAAATTTCACAATTTCTGCCAGGGTATGCAAACTTTTGAGCACAACTGTACATACATACATACATACAGTGGATATAAAAAGTCTACACACCCCTGTTAAAATGACAGGTTTCTGTTATGTAAAAAAAATTAGACAAAGATAAATCATTTCAGAACGGTTTCCACCTTTAATGTGACCTATAAACTGTACAACTCAGTTGAACAATAAACTGAAATCTTTTAGGTGGCGGGAAGTAAAAATAAATTAAAATAATTTGGTTGCATAAGTGTGCACACCTATAAACTAATACTTTGTTGCAGTAACTTTTGATTTTATTACAGCACTCAATCTTTTTGGGTATAAGTCTATCAGCACTGCACATTTGACTTGGCAATATTTGTCCACTCTTCCTTGCAAAAACACTCCAAATCTGTCAGATTGAGAGGGCATCTCCTGTGCACAGCCCTCTTCAGATCACCCCACAGATTTTCAATCAGATTCAGGTCTGGGCCATTCCAAAACTTTAATCATCTTCTGGTGAATTCCTTTGTCGATTTGGATGTATGCTTTGGTTCATTGTCATGCTGAAAGATGAAGTTCCTTTACATGTTCAGTTTTCTAGCAGAAGACTGAAGGTGTTGTGCCAATATTGACTAGTATTTGGAACTGTCCATAGTCTCCTCTATCTTGACTAAGGCCCCAGTTTCAGCTGAAGAAAAACAGCCCCCACCACAATGCTTCACTGTGGGTATGGCATTCTTTTGGTGATGTGCAGTGTTTTTGCACCAAACATATCTTTTGGAATTATGGCCAAAAAGTTCAACCTTGGTTTCATCAGACCATAACACATTTTCCCGCATGCTTTTGGGAAACTTCAGATGTGTTTTTGCAAAATTCTGCTGGGCTTGGATGTTTTTCTTTGTAAGAAAAGGCTTCCTTCTTGCCACTCTACCTCATAGCCCAGACATAGAAGAATACGGGAGATTGTTGAAACATGTACCACACAGCCAGTACTTGCCAGATATTCTTGCAGTGCCTTTAATGTTGCTGTAGGCCTCTTGGCAGCCTCCCAGACCAGTTTTCTTCTCATCAATTTTGGAGGAACATCAGATTCTTGGTAATGTCAGTGTTGCGCCATATTTTCTCCACTTGATGACTGTCTTCACTGTGTTCAATGGAATATCTAATGCCTTGGAAATGTTTTTGTACCCTTCTCCTGACTGATAACTTTTAACAGTGAGATCCCTCTGATGCTTTGGAAGCCTATGGCTTTTGTTGTAGGATGTCACTGGACATGGCTGATCACAAAGGACACAGCGATCACGGAGATCGCCGGGGGTGCACAGGAGAGTGCGTTCTGGGAGGGCATCATATGACGCCCTCCCAGAACAGGCCGGCCGCAGTGCAGCCGTCATTTGGCTATCTGCAGTCGGCAACTAGTTAAATGATAGCAGGTGTGCACTGAGTCCTATTTAATATGATTTTGAATGTGATTGCTCAATTCTGTACACAGCTACAGCCTCAGTTATAAGACATTGTGCACACTTATGCAACCAAATTATTTTAGTTTACTATGTTTACCCCCCCCAAAAGATTTCAGTTTGTTTTTCAATTGAGTTGTACAGTTTATAGGTCCCATCAAAGTTGGAAAAAGTTCTTAAATTATTTATCTTTGTCTACTTTTTTTTTTACATCACAGAAACCTAACATTTTAACAGGGGTGTGTAGACTTTTTCTATCCACTGTACATATATCACAGGTTTTGAAAACCATAACAGAAAAAAGGACAGACCCTGGTTGCCTTATATACTAGCTTGGACTTCGTGTTCGATATCCTGCCATGGTGCTACTCTTTTTTGAATGATGAAGCCTTATAGCCTTCAAAATGTACATACAGTAACACATATGACCAGCTTATTTGGCAGATTATATTGTTTTAGTCATACTTTGGGGAATCCATCTTGGAAGATATAAGTAATGCAGTCAAAACATAACTATACATGTGCAGGTAATCATTATGTAAACTACTTTTATTGTCCCCTGAGGAATCTGGGGGATCAATTCTTCGATGCTGAAAATTCTTAAGGAACAAATTTGCTATCAAGCTGCCAAACACCAGGTAGCCTTATATCAGCATTTATCATGCATTGACATGACAAAAGCCAGTTAGAAAAGACAAGGAGCATGTAGATATAGCGCCATCAATTTATGCAGCACTTAAGTACCTGTAATAAATAAATTCCTAAATGGCTCAATTGATATTGTTGCTAAACGTGAATAAAAGTTGCAGTTTTCTACCACCTTGATTACTGCATTTCAAATACATTTTAATGGTGTACAGAGTCAAAGTTCTGAAAACCAGAACCATCACTATCCAAATATTAGACCTAAATGTATTTAAGACTTTTCTCTAGACTTATGAAAAAATCCCCTGTAAGATCACATACCTCACTGTTGGTAAAGCTGCTCACTTTAACAAACAAATTAAACTTTTTAATGTTTAACCAAGGACCTAGGATATACATGGTAATTCCTAGAGTCCTTTGCTGCAATGATTAACGCTTTGTCTACCAAGGTACAATTTATAAACGTCCTAGCATTCAATAAGCTCTTGGCTGCTGTAGCCAGGGAAGCAGTTAATCAAGCATGGTTAGTACTTGATTAGATGCAGTGAAGGTCAAGGGAGACAATAGGGGATCTAATAGAACCCTTATGTCTTCATTAATTAGATCCATCACTTGACCATGCTATTAAATAGGGGAGCCTGTCAGACCCCTCGTGACAGCAATAAAGTTAAATGAAAAAAGCAAGGTGTTAGAAAAAGAAACTCTAATCAAAAATAATAATGAATATTTTCTTTTTAAAAGTACTGCTGATGCCCCAGACACACCCCATTGCAAGCATGCTCATAGGGCGGGCATAACTTGCACCATATATAAGATATTACCCTGAACGCTGAAAGAGAGCAATAATTCTAAGACCATAATTCTCAGTTAACTGATAACCTGTAAAGGTTTTTTACTCTTTCGCTGCCAGTGCAGTTTTTGCATTTTTCAGGCCTGAAGATTACACAAACCCCCAAATATTATATATTTTCTGAAAGCAGACACTCTAGAGAATAAAATAGTGGTAGCTACAATTCTTTATGTCACACGATATTACCGCAAAATTTCAGAAAAAACACACTAAAATGAATTTTAGGACAAACAAACAATACATTATTGAAATTTTTGGTAAAATATAAAAGATACGGTTGTGCTGAGTAAATAGATACCCAACATAATAAACCTTAAATTTATGTGCACCTATGAAATGCGACAAACTTCAGTATATATTTTTATTTAGACAAAGCTTCAAAAGCCCCTATAGGTCATTGGTTTAGTGATCTTGGAGGAGATCTTGTGCTAAAATTATTGCTCTCACTCCGGTGTGCGCGGAGATATGTAACATGTGAATCACAATCATGGTTTTCACACGTAGGTATCCCAACATCTGCATTTCCGTTCATACATGTGTGTGTATATGTGATGGGGGGGCGCTCAAATTTGTTTTTGGGGAGGGGGGAGGATGTTATGTGCTTGGGTGTAACTATTTTTCTGCAATAACAGAAAAAATCTCCTATGTGATGATTTTTTAGGAGGCAGGTTCTCTTTATTCAGACATGCAGGTTCTAAAAGACCCTGTATGTCTCCTTTTCTCTACCAGATGTCTTGCAATGCAGATAGAATTGCAATACATTTATCCCGGCTATTCTGGTGGGGAAAGTGACAGCCGTGACCCAAAGTGATATCTTACACATTGCCTTCCGGGTCACAGAAAGAAGGGAAGGAGAGTGGACGTTTGCCCCCTCTCCTCCCTCCCCTTCAACCGTCGGCACCATGGCGAGGGTGTGCGGGAAGCACCAGTACCGGGGGCTATGGAAGTGATCGGGTGGGCAGCGCATTTAATTGTTAAATGACAAATACAGCATTGCATTCCTCTCTCAAGGTCATCCTGGGGACAACCAAAATGAGGGACCTACACAGGTACACACAGGTCCCAATTGAGTTACTATGAAGGTCATGTTGTAGTAGGAGCCGGGCCATATATCCACAATAATGATGGCACATGAGCATTTGGAAAATGTTAGGACTATAATCTCTGGAGTTCAAGTGATGTGGTTCTAGTCGATTTTGTAAGCTGTAGAGGTGTTGGGGCCCCAATACCCCTTTAGTCAGTCTTGGCATTCTTTGATTCCCCCCCACTATTTTGGGGATAAACTGAGGGCGAGAATCGAGCTTTCAGACACTAATGATCGCTCATTTCTACCTGCCGCTCTGAGTGGAGAGCCAGACCTGTCAGTCTCAGGCTCTCTGCTCTTCCCCTCCAGTGCTTACTCGGCTGTGGAGGGGGCAAGAGCGGATAGATCAAGCTCTCAGTGGCTGAGTGACGTCAGCCGGCAGCTGACTTTAGCCTGCTATTGGATAGAAAAGGGTCAAAGGAGTGCAGAACGAACTGCACTCCTGTGGTCCACAGAAGTACAGCCCGAGCTTTGGCTGTACTTCTCCTTTAAAACCACAAGAACATTGTATATTTTCCAAACACAGAGGTCCTGCAGAATTAAGATGAATGTTGTAATTTTTTTGTCACACAATTTTTGCACACCCATTTATCAAATCTATAGTTACCAAAAAACAAGTACACTAAAATGAATGTTCGTGCATACGACACAATTTAATCCCCAATATTTTAACAAAATAAAAGATGAGCTAGTGTACAGTGAATAAATGCTAAAAGTGTTAGGCCTCAAAAATTGTGTCAAGTCTTAAAATTGTGTGCACCCAAAAAATAGGGAGACATTACAGTATCTAAAAATATCAATAAGTGATGCTTTACAGGTGGCTGAGGCCATCTTTAGTAAAAGTGTAAATCTGAAAGCTTACCTGTATGCTGTCCTGTAGCCTGTGATTCTTATTTTTAAATGTTGACCCTCTTGCGCTTCTATCATCTGGGAGGAAGGCTCGAAACGAAATTCTTTCATCATAGGTTTAAAATAATATTGTCCAGGACTCTAAATAAAAATGTAACAGCACATATTTACACTTAGCATACACAGAGATGTTGTCTGCAGGACCAGTATTCAAAAAAAGCTAATCGGTGCTTCTGAAACATTGTAGGTTACAAAGCAACTGTACTCTAAACCAAACTCACAAAACAATCGGTTATGAGCTTCTAGCCTATGAGTTGTTCAATGCATATGTGGTGGAGCTGTGCAGTTCTCAGTGCATGCACCTTCCTTACAGAGTTTACGTTTTAACAGATGTTCAAGATGCACAGGATGAGCTATTTTTTTCTTCTTGTTTATTGGGAGATGATTCCACATTTGTGAAAATATAAACTGCCTACAGGAGGTAAAAAATTTAAATGTGACTTTATTTGATAAAATAAATGCTAGAAGACAGCTCTCTTTTTTTAGCAGAAGAGAATTTATATATAAATTGTATGTGTACACTGTCTGCAGTGCACATGAAGTGCAGTGTACAACCTGGCTTATTCCTAGACCTAGAATGCAGTTGATGCCCGGTTATGATGCAACTCTAAAATTACATATGCAGGAGCTAAAGCAAAAGCAGCCCCAAAATGGACGAATGTAAGGAACATGGAAGACACTGAGGTGTTGGCAGTGCCAGCAGATGGAAGGCAGGGATAGCTTTGATCTGTGAGGTAAATATAGTTCCACTTTAAGAAGGTAGTCAATCAGTGTGTCAAAAACAGTATACAGTTGCAAGAAAAAGTATGTGAACCCCTTGGGATTACATGGAGTTTTGCATGAATTGGGCATAAAATGTGCTCTGAACGTCATCTAAGTCACAATAGAAGAACACAGTCTGCTGAACATAATACTACACAAACATTAGATGTCGCCATGGTTTAATTGCACATAACATGTAAACATTCACAGTGCAGGGAGGAAAAAGTATGTGAACCTTTGGACTTAACTGGTTGACCCTCTTTTGGCAGCAATAACCTCAACCAAACGTTTCCTGTAATTGCAGATCAGACCTGCACAATGATCTGGAGGAATTTTGGACCACTCCTCTTCACAAAACTGTTTCAGTGTAGCAATATTCTTGGGATGTCTGGTGTGAATCGCTCTCTTAAGGTCATGCCACAGCATTTCAATTGGGTTGAGGTCAGGACTCTGACCGGGCCACTCCAGAAGGCGTATTCTGTGCTGTTTCAGCCATTGTTTTGTTGAATTACTTGTATGCTTTGGGTCATTGCCCTGTTGCATCACCCATCCTCTGCGGAGCTTCAGTTGGCGGACAGATGGTCGTACGTTTTCCTGCAAAATGTCTTGATAAACTCTGGAATTCATTTTCCCATCAATGACAACAATCCGTTCAGGCCCTGAGGAAGCAAAGCAGCCCCAAACCATAATGCTCCCTCCGCCATGTTTTACAGTGGGGATGAGGTTTTGATGTTGGTGTGCTGTGCTTTTTTTTCTCCACACAGTGTTATGTGTTCTTCCGAAACAACTCAATCTTGGTTTCATCTGTCCACAGTATATTTTGCCAGTAGTGCTGTGGAACATCCAGGTGCTCTTTTGCAAACTTCAAACGTGCTGCAATATTCTTTTTGGACAGCAATGGCTTCCTCCGTGGTGCCCTCCCATGTACTCCATTCTTGTTTAATGTTTTCCTTACTGTAGATGTGTCAACAAAAATGTTAGCATGTGCCAGAGATTTCTGTAGGTCTTTAGCTGACACTCTGGGATTCTTCTTTACCTCATACAGCATTCTGCGCTGTGCTCTTGCAGTCATATTTACAGGACGACCACGCCTAGGGAGAGTAGCAACAATGCTAAACTTCCTCCATTTGAAGACAGTCTGTCTTACCGTGGACACATGAACATCAAGGCTTTTGGAGATACTTTTGTAACCCTTTCCAGTTTCATGCAAGTCAACAATTCTTGATTGTAGGTCTTCTGAGAGCTCTTTTCTGGGAGGCATGGTTCACATCTGACAGTGCTTCATGAAACCAGTAAACCCAAAACAGGTGTGTTTTTTAAGGGCAGGACAGCTGTCAGCAACACATCCAATATCATCACACTGATTGAAGTCAAGGTTGGCTCACTCCTGGCTCCAATTAGCTCTGGGAGAAGTCATTAAGCTAGGGCCTCATACTTTTTCCTCCCTGCACTGTGAAAGTTTGAAAGTTTACATGTTATGTGCAATTAAACCATGGCAACACCTAATGTTTGTGTAGTATTATGTTCAGCAGACTGTGTTCTTCTATTGTTGTGACTTAGATGACATTCAGAGCACATTTTATGCCCAATTCATGCAAAACTCCACGTAATCCCAAGGGGTTCACATACTTTTTCTTGCAACTGTATGTACCTGTGAGAAACATATAGCCACACTTCCTTAGTCTTGCTGCAGTTCTGCTTTCCAGGATCCTAAGGCATAAATGCTGGTTAGCAGACCTGACTTCTAAAATGTCAATGTCAACTTTCTCTTTCCAGCTCTGTGCTTGATGGCAATCAAGAACATATAGGAAGAGAAAGATAATGGTTAACCACTAGCCTACAGGGCACTTATACCCCCTTCCTGCCCAGGCCAATTTCCAGCTTTCAGTGCTGTTGCACTTTGAATGACAATTGTGTGGTCATGCAACACTGTACCCATATGAACTTTTTATAATTTTTGTGACAGATAGAGCTTTATTTTGGTGGTATTTAATCACCTCTGGGTTTTTTATTTTTTCTTAAACCAAAAACCACTGAAAATTTTGAAAAAAAAACCCCCATTTTTTCTTAGTTTTTGTTATAAAATTTTGCAAATAAGTGATTTTTCTCCTTCACTGATGTGCGCGAATAAGGCTGCACTGATGGGCACTGATAGGCTGCACTGATGGACACGGACAGGTGGCACTGATGAGGAGGCACTGATGGGCATTGAAAGGCAGCACTCATATGGCACTGATGCACACTAATAGGCGGTACTGACTGGCACTGATAGGCGGCACTGACTGGCACTGATGGGTGACACTGCAAGGCAGCTCAGATGGACACTGATATGTGGCATTGATGTGGCACTGATGGGCACTGGCAGGTGGCATGGATGAGCACTGAGAGCTGGCACTGATGTACACTGACAGGTGGCGCTGCTGGGGCTACACAGATCATGAGGGCACACTGATCATCAGTGCCCTGAAGATTAGTGTAGATGTCCCCTCCGAGGAATGCCGATTACCGGCTCTCCTCACGAGCTATCAGCGTGACAGCTTGTGGGGAGAGAAATGCCGATAACCGGCATTTCCCTGTTTACATGTGATCAGCTGTGATTGGACACAGCTGATCACAAGACCAAGCCAACATTTTTGTCTCTTTCCGTGGACAGTGCACCGCCGATCGCCGCATGCTCCGGGAGCCGCGCATGCGTGGTTAGAATGGAAGGACGTCATATGACGTCCTCCCAGAACGAGAGAACCACCTTGCGTCCGTCATATTACTATATGGCGGGCGGGAGGTGGTTAAAGAACAGTTCCATCCAAAAGGGGAAGTTCCACTTTAATGCTTTGTCCCCCGCTCCCCATTAAGGATTGGCACTTTTGGGAAGCGGGTACCCGAATTTGGCATGTAACCGCTCCCACGTCACAGGTCCCAGAAGACTAAAGAGCCATTCACAAAGCGTAGCACAGTGGGCACCCAGCTGTGAAGCCGCAAGTTGTCACAATCGTGTGCCCACGCTAAAGATGCCGGCGCCAGGCAGAGAAGACAGCTGGTGAAACCAGCGGTGGTGAGGACACCGCTGGACCGAGGGATAGGTAAGTGGCTGTATTTTAAAAGTCAGCAGCTACAGTTTTTGTAGAGGCTTTTTTTTGTCAGCTGGAACTCTGCTTTAAAACACAAGTTAACCAGCATGTCACTCCTGCTACAGAACAATTCTTGTGCCTCTAGGGAGGCAACCTTTTTGCTTTATTAGCCCATGTGTTATTTTTATTCTTTAGAGCGTCTTTGTACCGCAGTCTTTTAAGAATGTCTGTTACACTCATGAATGTCTAGGTGAACAGCCCCCCACAGCACCTCTACAAAACACCTACTTCACACTACTGTGCATTGTTGTGCCCTCGCTCTTATGCACCAGAGCACCAATGGTCACTTTAGTGCACTAACAGTCCAAGTATATGAATGGGCTGCATTAACACAACACATTAACATGCAACATAGGACGTTACTGCTAGAGCAGCGTAGGGTTTCCAAATGGCTAGGGGAGGTGAATTCCAAATAGAATTACATTCATTTCTATTGTTTTTATTCCCAACTGTACTTACCACACAAGGTGTCTCTTGGTGTATAGCTAGCATTTGTATGCATTACTGGCATACATCTTTTGTATGTAGGTGAGGTAGACATTTTAACATTCTATCTGGCTGGAAAATACAGCAACCAGGCAGTCAAATGTATGTACTACACTGTGTTTGGTTATTTGTCTTTTTAAGAGTGAAAATATACTTTAATTCCAAGTGCAGCAGTGATAGAGACAAAAGTAGAACATTTACCAGATTTGAAAATGTCAGCATCCCATTTTCTTGGGTTAGCAGGTTTGAACGGAACATACCACCACTGAGAGATAAAAGGACCCCAGCCAAAGGCTGCTCATCTTCCGAGAGGATCTGCTCAGAAAGAATGGAGGAAAACATTATTTCTTTTAAATAAGCACATGGGGCCTCATTTCAGATTATTATTATACCCCCAAAGGAGCCACTTGTTTGTTGCCCCATTTTCCCCTCACTTCGTCCCGCAGCCAGGCACAGTGTATTTCTTCAGCCAAACACACACATACTAAAGTGAATACTCCAAAATCAGAACTATTCACACTGAGGACATCTATCTGATTTCTTCGTTGAACACATATGAAATCCTGCCTGTCAGTAGAGAGCAGACTTCCCCTTGTCACATATAGTAGCAAGTAGTTTAGGAGTGAGCAAATTCCCTTTAGCAGTAGTATTAGTTACAGGGCTGCGCTCCTCAAGTATAAGCCAGTTACGATAGACTGTGACAGCCCAAAAGTTAATGCAGCAAAGCAAAGTCATTTACAGTAGCAACACTTGGACAATCTATTGGGAACACTAGCCAGTGTTCCCTTTTTCCAAACCCACGCTGACTATCAAACATCAGGGGAGGTAGCAAGCACACAATTCCTCAATGTCAGTACTCACAAGGCCCAAGGATAGAATGGTTGCCTCCTTCCAATCTTCCAAGTGAAACCCTCCAGTGATACTACAGAGCCACGGCAGACAACTCCCCTCAGTCAGCTTCCTGCAGAACCAGGGTCACTCTCTCTAACTTCAGGCTCTCAGGTGGACCCACGAGGCCACATGGCAACAAGTGCCAGGCGAGGCAGCCTGCCTCCAGCCTGGCTGGTACAATCCACTCCCAGGAAAAGACACTGAACTCATGTGCTCTCAAAATATAAATACCACTCCCAGCATGCAATGGGACTGCCTTCCCCTGCAATTGGCCAGGGATGCATCCATATTCATGCTGTTCCTTTGCCTAGCCCCTACCCATGTTCTTGAAGGCTCTCATAGCTTCCTGAAGGTGGGCAGAGCTCAGACAAACTACAACAGCACCAGAGCAGTATGAGCAGACCTAACTAATCAATCACAGCACTCTGTTAAGCAGAATACCACACTGAATTTACCTGACAGCCTCTCTGGTAAGCAGAGAAACACAGCTATGCTTAACCTAACTATACACATCCTAGCACCTGACTAGGAAGGTGCTACAGATATTACATCCCAAGTTTCAAAATAGTTGGGGTACTATGTAAAATCTACAAACAAAATGAGTGCATACAAGTCTAAATCTCAAACTTGTATTTTATTCACAACAGAAAATAGAAAACTCAACACTCCATTTGTAACTGAACTACAGTTCATACCATTCACAATCACCCAGAGACTGCCAACAAGGTACAATAGGGACATTGCAGATTTGAAAAACATTTGAACAGTCACCAAATGTTATATACAGTGGATATAAAAAAGAATCACCCCCTTTAAATATTCACATTTTGTTGCTTTGAAGCCTGAAATGAAGACAAACACAGTTTTTGTTCTATCCAGCTGCATTTACTCAGTACAACTTATATACTGAATATATTAACATGTCAGGAAGGAAAAAATTAAAAAAAAATTCCAAAACAGAATCCTGGAGTTGGAAAAAGGATCACCCCCTCCTAAAAAAGACTTGTAAACTCAAATCAGGTGTAGCTAATCACCATCACAATGGCACACAAAGCCATTTGACTTGCAACTGTGATCAGCTGTGGTCATTTTGATTAGCTCAGCATGAAAACAGCCTTTTTATGTCTAGGTCTGTTGATGTAGTGTCCTTGTCAGAGATTTGTCACTTGCAGGATGCAATTTAGAGCACAGATGAAGGATTGACAAAGTTTGTTCCCATCCATCTTCAGCAGTGTGTGTGTATTTATATATATATATATATATATATATATATATATATATATATATATATATATATATATATATATATATATATATATATATATATATATATATATATATATATATATATATATCACTTTTTTAATCAGAGTATAGCATCAACTCAATTGAACTCCTGGGATATTGATCCGGTCAGTTAAGTAGCAGAGGGGGTTGTTAATCAGTTTCATCTGCTTTGGTGCTAATGAAATTAACAACAGATGCACTAGAAGGGCAACAATAAGACGACCCCCAAAACAGGAATGGTTTTACAGGTGGAGGCCACTGACTTTTTCCCTACTCATTGTTTCTGACTGTTTTTCACTAGTTTTGCATTTGGATAGGGTCAGTGTCACTACTGGTAGCATGAGGCGATACCTAGACCCTACAGAGGGTGCACAGGCAGTCTAACTCCTCCAGGATGGCACATCAATATGTGCCATTGCCAGAAGGTTTGCGGTGACTCCCAGAACAGTTTCAAGAGCATGGAGGAGATTCCAGGAGACAGGAAGTTACTGTAGGAGAGCTGGACAGGGCCGTAGAAGGTACTTAACCCATCAGCAGAACCGCTATCTGCTCCTTTGTGCAAGGAGGAACAGGATAAGCACTGCCAGACCCTACAAAATGACCTCCACCAGTGCACTGGTGTGAATGTCTCTGATCAAATAATCAGAAACAGACTTCATGAGGGTAGCCTGATGTCCTCTAGTGGGACCTGTGCTTAATGCCCAGCACCATAGAGCTTGAATGGCATTTGCCATTGAACACCAGAAGTGGCAGGTCCGCCACTGGTGCCCTGTGCTTTTCATAGATGAGAGCAGGTTCACCGTGAGCATATATGACAGACGTGAAAGGGTCTGGAGAAGCTGTGGAGAACGTTATGCTGCCTATAAAATTGTTCAGCATGACCGTTTTGGTAGTGGATCAGTGATGGTCTGGGGAGGCATATCCATGGAGGGACACACAGTTCTCTACAGGCTAGACAATGGCACCCTGACTGCCAATAAGTATCAGGATGAAATCCTTGGACCAATTATCAGACCCTACGCTGGTGCAGTGGGTCCTGGGTTCCTCCTGGTGCACGACACCATGTGGCAAGAGCATGCAGGCAGTTCCTGAAGGATGAAGGAACTGATATTACCGAATGGCCCCCAAGCTCACCTGACTGAAATCCAATAGAAGACCTCTTGGATATCATGTTTCAGTCCATCCAACGCCGCCAGGTTGCACCTCAGACTGTCCAGGAGCTCAGTGATGCCCTGGTCCAGATCTGGGAGGAAATACCCGAGGATACCATCCATCCTCTAATTAGGAGCAGGCCCGACATTGTCAGGCATGCATACAAGCATGTGGGGGCCATACAGACTACCAAGTACCATTTGGAGATGCTCCAATTAAATTTTAGCAAAACGGACTAGCCTGCTGCATCATTATTTCACTTTGATTTTCAGGGTGTATTTGAATTCAGTGCTCTGTAGGTTGATCATTTTCAGCAAATGATGGGGCACCCTTATGTTCCTAATACATTACCAAGTCCACACCAGTATAGATATGCAGCATGATATTTTTTCCCCATTAAGGTCTGATGTGTTTTCAAAGTGTTCCTTTAATTTGTTTGAGCAGTGTGTGTGTTTGTGTGTATATATATATATATATACACACACACACACACACACACACACACGTACATACATACAGTCAGGTCCATAAATATTGGGACATCGACACAATTCTAACATTTTTGACTCTATACACCACCACAATGAATTTGTACTGAAACGAACAAGATGTGCTTTAACTGCAGACTGTCAGCTTTAATTTGAGGGTATTTACATCCAAATCAGGTGAACGGTGTAGGAATTACAACAGTTTGCATATGTGCCTCCCACTTAAGGGACCAAAAGTAATGGGATAATTGGCTTCTCAGCTGTTCCATGGCCAGGTGTGTGTTATTCCCCTCATTATTCCAGTTACAATGAGCAGATAAAAGGTCCAGAGTTCATTTCAAGTGTTCTATTTGCATTTGGAATCTGTTGCTGTCAAGTCTCAAGATGAGATCCAAAGAGCTGTCACTATCAGTGAAGCAAGCCATCATTAGGCTGAAAAAACAAACCCATCAGAGAGATAGCAAAAACATTAGGCGTGTCCAAAACAACTGTTTGAAACATTCTTAAAAAGAAGGAAACACACCTGTGAGCTCAGCAACACCAAAAGACCCGGAAGATCACGGAAAACAACTGTGGTGGATGACCGAAGAATTCTTTCCCTGGTGAAGAAAACACCATTCACAACAGTTGGCCAGATCAAGAACACTCTCCAGGAGGTAGGTGTATCTGTGTCAAAGTCAACAATCAAGAGAAGACTTCACCAGAGTGAATACAGAGGGTTCACCACAAGATGTAAGCCATTGGTGAGCCTCAAAAACAGGAAGGCCAGATTAGAGTTTGCCAATTGACATCTAAACAAGCCTTCACAGTTCTGGAACAACATCCTATGGACAGATGAGACCAACATCAACTTGTACCAGAGTGATGGGAAGAGAAGAGTATGGAGAAGGAAAGGAACTGCTCATGATCCTAAGCAAACCACCTCATCAGTGAAGCATGGTGGTGGTAGTGTCATGGCGTGGGCATGTATGGCTGCCAATGGAACTGGTTCTCTTGTATTTATTGATGATGTGACTGCTGACAACAGCAGCAGGATGAATTCTGAAGTGTTTCGGGCAATATTATCTGCTCATATTCAGCCAAATGCTTCAGAACTCATTGGACGCCGCTTCACAGTGCAGATGGACAATGACCCAAAGCAACCAAAGAGTTTTTTAAGGGAAAGAAGTGGAATGTTATGCAATGGCCAAGTCAATCACCTGACCTGAATCCGATTGAGCATGCATTTCACTTGCTGAAGACAAAACTGAAGGGAAAATGCCCCAAGAACAAGCAGGAACTGAAGACAGTTCCAGCAGAGGCCTGGCAGAGCATCACCAGGGATGAAACCCAGGGTCTGGTGATGTCTATGCGTTCCAGACTTCAGGCTGTAATTGACTGCAATGGATTTGCAACCAAGTATTAAAAAGTGAAAGTTTGATTTATGATTTTTATTCTGTCCCATTACTTTTGGTCCCTTAAGAAGTGGGAGGCACATATGCAAACTGTTGTAATTCC